GCGGCTTCGGAAGCTCGACACACATCAAACCAGTTCCTTCCCAGCTGGAAAATGGGAGGAGGAAGGCAGGGAGGAGTTGTCCCTGGAGACAAATTCATTCACGCGCTCAGCTGGCAGGCGCTCCAGGTTCCTTGGAGAAGGACATCGCAGGCACCGCGCGGTGTCCGAGCTGGCGTCTTCAGCGCCGCTGCTCCCCAACAGCGGAGCTGGCGAGTCGAACAACAATCCCTTCTCCCCTCCCTCCCCTGGTTTAAGGCCACGGTGAAGACTCAGCCCCCGCTGACCCCTTCTCCCCCTCTCCGTGCCGTGGGTGCTGGCGAAAGGGCACAGGAGCCCCGAGGGCCGTCGTCTGCAGGATCCTCGTGGAAGCGGAGGGGGGATCTGGCATAGGGGGACAAGGAGAAAGAAGTTTTCCCGCCTCTCTAACCCGCCCTGCTCCCGGGTTTTCCTTCATGCCACATTACCCCGACTCTCAGGAAGCCGTAGCAGTTAAGAGGTCAAAATGCAGCATCGTGTAAGTGTAATAAACCAGAAGTACGCTTTCCACTCTTAAAATTAATGACGTAAACTACATGCAAGTTACAAACCCCCCCCCAAAACAGCAGATAATCAAATTCTTCATAGCAAAGGCCAATAGAAGAGAGTAAAATCAAAAACCTGCTTCCTCTCACCTTCCTGCTACAGCCAGGGCGAGGGGAGGAAGAGAGACTGACAACTCAGTATGTCCTGGATAGGGAAATATATTTGCTTCACAGAATGTCTCCCCTATCTCCCCACACCCTAAAACAAGACAGGGAAAACTAATCGTCATAAACGTAGGCCAGCTGAAGCTAAAAAAAAAAAAAAAACAAAACCAGACCTCTTCTCATCTGGAGTCGGCATCACAGAGCTAACATGGTACCCCCGAAAAGTGCATCTTTAGAAAACAAATGAAGGTTGGGGTGACGACGGCAGAGGAAGCGAGGGGGAGGCAGCCCCGGGCAGGGCTAGTTTCCCCGGAAAGCACTCTGTGCGGCTGAGGAGGCCGCCCCAGCGGCTGCGTTCTGGAAGCCCCTGTTGGTGAGGATGCCTTGGGAAAACTCTTCCTGGGCCCTTTGGAAACTGGCTCCCGTGCGCCGATACAGGGAATGCACCTGGGAAACAAAGAGAAGGGGTGGGGGGGGAAATCAGCCTGCAGGTACGGGTTGCTGCACACACCTTGCTTGCTTTTCCTCGGCCCTGTCGCTAACCAGCTCTCTTGGCAGCTAGAGAGGATGGGCCGGAGCCATTGGCTCCATCTCACCCAGCACATGATGCTGCAGATTTCAGGAGACCCTCATTTGTGGTAAAATGTAGAGCTCTCAGCAAAATGGCAAGCGTCAGACCAAAAACTCCTCTCCCCGCACTGAGATGGTATGGACACTTAACCTCTGCGTTTACAGACACTTGCAGGGCAGGACCTGAAGGTACCTGCAACTACAAGCATCAGGTATTTCCTTCAAGATAATTTAGGAGAAAAGGAGGAGGAAGCAATAGAAACAGGACCAGTTCAGCCTGTCCTTGCCTTCCCCAAAGCTACATTTCTGCTGTTAATTGCAGAAACGCAACCCTTGTGCGGTTGATCAGCAGGAGGAAGGGGGGCTTGTGTTTGGGAGCCAGCGGGAAGGCACCCGTTTGGATCCCACCGGGCTTTGAAGAGTCCCACAACATTGTGGTAACAGTGATTGTAAAGCCCTGGGTACCCGAACAAAGCAATGGCCTTCTCTGCTCAGCCAACTCTGGACAGACTCAAGCTAAAGGGAGGTGCAAGAAATTTGATGTCCGTGTTTAAGGGTGATGTTTGGGACCTCGCTGGCCATCTTCTCTGGGCAGCAGCCAATGCAGCAAGCCTAACTACACCTTCCTTTATTCTACCGTGCACGGTTAATGGCGTGCCTTACTGAACATCTGCGCTTCTTGTTCCCTCCCCAAAGGCTACTTTCCCACCTGCAAGTCCCCTGAGTGTTCAAGCAACTCGGCATCGATGCAGGAAGCGCAAGCAAAAATATTTTCATTAAAAGCTCTTGACCTGACAGTGCCCCGATTACATCTTCAAAAGCAAGCTAATCCCCAGGCAGATGAGAGGAGGTGGCAACCCCAGGATACCCCAGGGAGCAGCCTGACCTGCAGATCTGCAATTCAGCCGAGACCTCGCCTTGCCTCCGAGCCACTCACCTGCTTCAGGAGGAAGAGCGAGAGAACTGCGCACAGCGTGAAGAATCCTGCCACCACCATCATGATAACAGCCACGGCCAGGTTCCCATGCAGCTCAGACAGCGCCGCAATCCATCCGCTGCAAGAGAGAGGAGAGCAGGGTGAGCTCAGCGAGCATTCGAGTCACGGGATGAGACGGAGCAGAGGGAGAAGAGGCACCGACAGTCGCACAAGAGCCTTTGGGGGAAGGTTACAGGGAAGCGCAAACCCAAACATAACGGCTGTGGAAACAGGGACCCAGAGCTCATCCAGGCACTCGTTTGGGGGCTTCATTTTTAGAAGCAATCCACCTCTACACAAGAGAGCCACGCTTAGCCCACTCGCATTACAGCCCTGGCCCCTGGACCACCCCCCTTAAACAGCAATCAAAACCCCTGGCGCTGTCAGAGATCAAGTCACTTCCACGGGCACCTTCTCAAAAGTCAGCCAAGTAGTGGAAGGATAGGCTGGTACATCTAAATTGGAAGAGATCAGCTGGCAGATCTGGAGCCTAGACCTACATGTCACCGTGACAGCTCTGCGTGGCCAGGGATGTAAGTGTTGGGAGGGGGAGGAAAAGGAAGGAAGGGATGAAGTAAAGAGCTACAGAAAGAAGGAAACTGGCAGTTATTGAAGGGAAGGGGCCGGACGGCTGCTGGGAGTTATCAGCACTTGGCTGTGGGTAAAAAGACCAAGATGCCTCACTCAGAACACCCTCCTGGGTGCTGGAGAAAGGAATCTTTCCAACTGCTAAACCAAGCAAGCTGTGTGCCACCAGGAGAGAGGGAATCAAGCGAGCCAAACCATCCCAGTCGATGTGCTGCACAACTTCTTCCTCATTATAAGGAAGCGGAAAGGCACACCATGCACTACAGCCAAAAATAAATGCACTGTCTGGCTCGAGGAAATGTAGCAGAAAGCTCAACGCACGCTCTCCAAAGTCAGACTAAAAACGGACTGCCCCCTCCCAGTCCCCCATGACTAAGGCAGCACCAGCTAGCAGGGGAGGGAGCACGAGGACAGCTTTGCCCATGAGCCGTTCTGCAGGCAGCAGGCAAAAATAGACAGCAGTTTCACCGCGCTCATCACCTGAAGGCTCCCCCTCAGGAGAAAACCACTAGCTGTTAACCTTTTCACTGTTCACAGTAACTCGGGAATCTGATCAACACAGCAAGGTGAAAAGAAAGCCAGTGCTTTCACTGCAGGCGACAACTGCTGACAAGAGGCCTGTTGGACCCACTCCAGAAGCCCAGGCTCCTCACCCTTCTGTACAACGCCATCAAGGAAGGGCGAGGATAAAACCCTCTCTGCTTATTTTTTGAAGCACAGCCCACCGACAACACACTCGAAAGAAATTCAGGAAGAGTTTGGGGAGAGAATCAGGCTGCTAGCAGCAGTATCGAGTTAAGCCGTACCCAGACTCCAGGTCGGAGATCCCTCACCCCCACGCTACAGCCTCTATCAGGGAAGGCTCCATTTTAACACAAGGCAGATGCTGTCAACACTAGAGGCTCAGCATCAAGAAGGGATAAGTATTATATGTATTAAGCGAGGGGGAAGGCAGCAGAGGAGGCGTGGAAGATTTCAGATACTCCTTTCAGCGCAGCAGCAAAGGTA